TTATGTTTATAATTACACTTCATTAAAAACAAAATGTAAATTTAAAAATAACATACATAAACGTATGTTTATGTATACAAAATTAAATGGAGATTTTGATACGGAGAATGCCTGCAAGGATCTTTTAAATATCAAACAATTCCATACTACAGTAAATAATATGCTTAGTAATCTTCCACTTTTAGATACAAACAGCCATATAACTAGTAATTTTATTCATAAATATTTGCTAGAAAAGTATAACGAGAAATTCATATTACAGCAAGAAATAGACAAATGTTTTATGAATTTTATTTATGATCATCACATGACATTCTGTAAAGAAACTATTAAAAATGAGAATGAAAAATTTGGGTTTCAAGAATTATTAAATCAAACTTTACCTGGGTAATGTAATATTAACTCAAATTATTGAAAATTAAGGTTATTATGATTATTTTTAGCTTTCAAACATAGGTTATGTTATTTTTAGTCCGTATATACGACATTATTGAATCCATTTTACACAAAAATACTTAACAAAATCATAAAATTTATCAGGTTGAAACTCTCAAATAATTTTGATGAATTTTCCTCAGTCCCAGTAATAAAGTGAAATTCCCTAAAAAAATTCCAGTTAAAATTTTAGTTGATAGACAAACTACTGTAACTATTTGAATAATGTTTAATTCAAAATACATTAATAGTGTTAATATTTAAGTCAAATATCAAAAGCATCTGCAGAAAGTTTTCATGGGGGAAGCGGAAATATTTTTTAAAATATTTGGTTTCACTGACTGCTGAAAAGATCCAGTGTTGTAAGAGGATGGCTGGGGTCTTTATTGGAGCCTTTGTCATAGCCATAGCAAAAAGGAAATCAGCCTCTTCAGTTAACCAATTAGATCCTCACAAATTTAAGAATTAATAGAATATGTATGTAATTATGTATATGTATTTATAATGTTTTTTAGGGTAGAGATAAAATACAATGTACATCCTTAAAAATGTTATTTTAATAGGCACCTTTGGAC